CAATTCACTTTATAGCCACTTTTTTAATACAATTGACCAAAATAGCCAAGATTAGCAACATGCGAATTCCACTTTTTATGAATATATTCATAAAGTAACAATTTTGCAAGTTGCTAAAATACAACTTGCGAAATACTGACGTGGAAGTGCCACTTACGTAACTTGCTAAAGTTGTTAAAGTGCTATTAACCCAACTTGTTAAAGTGTTAACTCCGAGATCTTGGCTATTTTGGTCAGTTGAGTAGAAAAGCAGCTATAAAGTGAATTAGGGAGCCTTTCTTTGGACAACTTCCGGTGTTAGACAAGGGCTATTTAGCTGAATGACCTTCTCAATAACTTCTAAGTTTTTACCGGAGCCGGCTGTTTTGAACCAGGGGCAGGTTAAATAAAGGCGTTGAACTAAATTTTTTTCTTTTTAAGAAGATTATGCTCCTAATTGAGAACTCATTTAAGGTCATTCATCCAAGGGGGGCCCATTAAACAATGAGAAAGAAGGCAAGAGATAGTAACATCAAATACCTGAAGAAGGGCCGACATGAACATGTGAAACGCTTGAGTGTTTTGGTCTATCAGCACGGCTACCCGGCCAAAGAAAGTTACAACTCCATGCATCTGAGATCATGCACAAAAAAGACCCCAAAATATTCATTTGTAAGAAAACTTGGGTTGTTCAGCCAATAAGAACTAGAATTTTTTGTTTGCCTAATTCATTTAATTTTCTCTTTCAATGATAAAAACCAAACCAAAGGAAGCCGGTATATCCCATCTTGAGGTGGGGTCTGATGAGGGTAAGATGTATGCAGGCGTGACCTCTACCCCAAAGAGTAGAGTGGTTGTTCAGTAAAGACCCCCCCCCCCCCCCCCCCCCCGGGGGGGGGGGGGAGTTTGTGAAAAGTGCGACGAAGAGAGAGTCATATATGATAAAGTTTTGAAAAGTTGGTTAAGAGTGAACAATAACATACAAATAGAAACAAGTACTTATATAGGTGGTTCGTTTACAATGATAGGGAATCCAAAAGAGAAGGTTATATGTTGTGCTGGAGAAAAAAAGATGTACAACTTTCTCGATGATTTGGACTTATATAGGCAGGACAGGTTCATTTTGTGAACCGTAAATATTTTGAGAACCATGCGAACCATTTATCCATGATGAATATATCTTATTATTCATTAATATTATACATTTTCAATATTCATGATATTCATCATGCATAGTTTGTTATGGTTCTCAAATGAACGTGGCCTTATATATAGGGTCATAGGGTCAAGTTCAGGGTAAAACCGCAAAAAAAATGAAAAAAATGAGGAACACCCTGGTAACCATTCTTCTGTAGGGTGCATACAAGTAATTTGTTCATTATGCACATGTGCATAACATGTACACATGCATAGAAACCAAGATACATGCATATGTGTATATCATACTAATGAGTGATTACCAAGATGTTCCTCAGTTTTTCATTTTTTGGGGGGTTTTCCCCTAAACCTCCCCCCCCCCCTCTCTCTATATATATATATAAAGCAAAGACACAATACATGCTTAGGCTTAAATATGTGTTTTTTCCTTCAAATTTTGTGTATGGACTATAAGCGACTTCTTTTCTTATCGATTTCGTCTTAGATTTGTACGTACACACAAGTATATAAAAATTAAACACGCCATGGAATCCTCGACCTTTTAGAACCTCTGAATCTTGTATTCATATATCCCACATTGGCATCCTTGTAGCATAGATTTAACCATTCATAGTGCATGCAATACAGAAAAACGACAAGTAATAAATAGAATTTCTGACTTACCACACGCATCAAAGAAATCCAAAATCCAGGAGGAGATGACGGAGCACCAAATGGATTATTTGGGTCCTGATCACCACCATATGGACCGCCGGGACCGCCCATACCCATACCATAGCCGCCCATTGGGTTTCCAAAACTATTGTTATACATTCCTCCCCCACCATACATGCCGCCACCACCTCCATAAAGGCCACCATAACCTCCTCCATACATGCTATTTCCATATAAACCAGTATTATAGGATCCCGATGCCCCATATCCACCGTAAGAACCATAAGCTCCTGTTCCAGCTGCGTAACCTGAATTATAATTTAAACTGGCACCATAACCTGCACCGAACGGACAAAATAAACAAATAAGTACAATATTTCAATAAGAACCGAAATAAGTTGGTATATTTGTGGAGGGCAACAATTGAATATAAAATATCCATGCAACTATATCATAGGAGACAAAGGATCGTGTGAGAATAAGAGTTAAGGTGAGAAGCATAAGAAAGGATTTGGACCCTTGATCACTTTTAATCTCACCTCCACTCCATGAATTGCGCTTCTCATGGGAATTGATCCGGTGCATCTTATTGCTGTTGATGTTCAATTAGGATTGATCCAAGGGTGGAGATCCTTTCTTACCATTCTCACCGGAACCAAACCCATGATATACACAACTATAATCCAACTAGAAAATAGGTGAAGGTTATATAGCAATATAATACAAGCCTTATTATAGTGTCACAATCGCAAAGAATTGTTGACATTGGTCCACATATTCTTTTATTTGCCATTATTGGATGCTATCTAAGAAATTTAGTTAATACTTAGGCCATGTTTGACAAATTTGTTGATGGTTGGTAAGCTAGCTGACAGCTAAAAAATCACTTGTTGGCTAATAAGTTGATAAACTAGTTACATTTGGTAAAAACTAGCTAATAAGCCAGATGAAAATGTAAAATAACTTAAAAGACTATGGTTTTTGGTCATATATGTAAACTATTAAGGGCCAGAATTGGAAAAAAGGTGAAAAAACCCCCTAGAGCTTATCGAGACGCTAGAAATAGTTTTTCAGAAAGCTAGCTTATAGTTTACCAAACGAGTCAAAACATTCCTCTTGAACCATATACTCGTTTAGACATCACAACTGCTATGGGACAAAGGGATAACGTATTTTGGAACATGATCTAATTAACACGAAGTGTTCATCACAAAACGTGAATATAAATATCGCTGGAGAAAAATGGGATTACAAATACCTCCATATGTGCTTCCATATGTGTTTTGCTGCACCCATGGCCTAGAGGGTACAGGCCTCCCAAGTGAATTTGTGTTAATTGTGGATGCATCATTTGGGGGCACAATTTCGCCTGGTCTTGCTGTTCCAGAAGCCTCAACAACATCACTTGTGCTACCTGGAGCCGAGGGTTTAAAAGGAGCAGGTCCACTTGATGAACCAGCTCGTTCCCATGGTTTGGGTGGTGGACTACTACCTGAATCGCAAAACAGAAATTCTAAATGTCAATAACAAGATAATTGGTCTTACATCAAAATATAGCACAAATCAGTGTTAGACCAGACCAAACCAAACCAGTATATCCCACCTGGAGGGGGAGGGCTGACTTAGCCTTAGGCTAGGGGGTGCCTATGCACCCGTTCTATCTTTAGGGTCTTAAAGGTGCACCTGCCTACTCGGAGTGTCATTACATGTTGCAAGTTTGAACCCGGAATCCCTTTGGCTTTTTTAATTTTATTGGTAACAACAGAAAAGAAGAAAATAGGAAGGAAGAAACCACTTGTATGCCATTTTAATTAACCCGTACTTTTATAATTAATTATTTTTATTTTATATTATGTTAATTATTTATGTGCCTTGCTCAGAAAATTTTATGGATATGTCTATGGGGAGGGGTAAGATGTAAGCAGACTTGGTCTCTACCTCAAAGAGTAGAGCGGCTGTTTCCATGAAGACCCCTGGTTTGATAGCACAAATCAGTGTGTAAGTATTAACATACATACAACTACACTAAAATATATTGGTCCAAAAGGTTTAACTAAACAAGGAGTCACACATACTGAAACTTGTAAGGTTGAAGCGTTGACTCAGATAAGTAGTTCTGCAATACAGGGAAAGGTCAAGTTTCTCAATTGTAACTGTTTAGTGAGAGGATCAAAATTGTACAGGTGCACCAGATACCTCTAAATTAGGAGTGGTAGTGGATACAATTTTGTGTATATTAGTTGTGTACCCGTGCGATGTAGTGAGATGCAAGATTTCATTGTAAACCGAGAATAAAAAATTAATGTAATTTTTCATTCAAAAGGAAAAATCCAAAATGAGTATTTGAATAAAATAGAAATTACAAGTAGTGGTTGAATATGTTTTGCTAATTTTATATATATATATATATATATATATATATGTGCCAAATTAGATGTTATAAGATTCTCGTGTTTTTAGTATAATTTGCTTAATTCAAAATTGTATTATGATTCAGATATTCTATATATTAAAATGAAGATGTAATTCATTTTAGTACTAAAGATGGAGTATCTTTCGTACGGATAAAGATACAGATAAAGATAATGATGAAGTATTTTGTCGTATCAGTAGAACTCAATGATCATCCTCTATTTGGTTATTAGTTAATTTTATGGAGTCCAAAAAACTTATTCGCATGCAGTAATTACTTGTCATATTAAAATTGAAGTCATTATACTAAACAATATATAATACTTAATAAGTTGTTTTTAAGACTTCTACTACTTAAATGGTTTATAATATAGTATAGATCATGGGATAAGATGTTTAAACTGTAGTATAGAACATGCCAATAAAAACATTGAACTTTCATGTGAGGAAAGAATAAATCAAGAAGATAAAGATGTTCTGATAAACAAAGCTGCACTTTACCAATAATGTTGAGCCTAAGCCAAAGAAACCTAAAGCAAATGTAGATCTATGCCTTGGAGAGTAGGCCTACGCTTTTGGATGAGACTCGGGCATCAGGGACTTGCAACAAAACATGGAACCGAATGGACCTAGGCCGACTCCCATCTAAACCAAAACAAACAAACCCAGTTTACCCCATTCAAAAGCAAAGTCTCGAAGGGGTGGGATGGCGCTGTCGTAACCTCTACCCCCAAAGAGTAGAGTGGCTGTTTCCATGAAGACCACCGACCCCACTCCCATCTACAAACCGAAAGCTATAAGAAAGGTTTCCTGGAGAGATAATGGGCCCAAACTGTTCTAGTGACTAAATTGAGAAACCTCAATTTCGAGTGAATGGCAATTGAAGCTCCTAATTGGGTATGAAACTGCATTCAAGACCTACCGTAACATGAGGGTTTATGTTAGGAAGTTTGCCATCTATCAGACCTTTAAGGGATAACACAAATTGCTGAATTTGCAGGGAATATCTTCGACTTAGAAATTCTTACAATTGATCACAATATGCTTGTTGGATCGATCATGCATACAATCTTTGTAGCTCGATATCTCAATGAAATCACAAACTTGGAGAGAGATCATAAGATCCATAACTCTACAATACCCTTCAAAAACACGAATCGGAACAATCTAACACCATGTGTGTTTCCTTAACAGCTCCACGATCACAAATTCACAACAATTGATCAATCGAAGGATGTGAATTATCTTAAACACGCTTCAAAAATTCCTCATAATATCAAAAACAAAATTGCTAAGAACAACTCTTAATTGTCAAATCCTAATTAACGTATGTGAATTCTGGAATAACTACAACCCTAAACAAAAGCATGATCATTCAATCCGAAGTAATTACATAGAACTAGAAGAAAAAAAAATTAGATCAAGAAGGAGATAGGCGAAACCTGATTGTTGCGAATTGTTATTCGCCATCGGAAGGAAGGAAAGACGCGGCTCACGGAACCCACCACCGCCGAAGGGAAAGAGAAAGATGCAAACAACAATGGAGTCCTCTTTATTCTGGATTTATATATCAATGTCCCTTTTTTTTTCTGGGTGGGTTTTTGTTGAAATATTTAATCACAAGTGAATAGGGCGGCAACTATGAACCGAATGAGAGTTGAAGTCTTTAAGCATATCGTGACGTCATATTTTTTAAAACAAGTTTTATATTCTATTAGAAGGTGTCTGGAATTGCTTATAAAAATAATTTATTGACTTATTTTGGTATGACATCGGTAACAAGCACTTTTGAGTGTTTGGATAAACAACTTATACCGGTGCCAAATCGGTAATAAGGAGTTTATGAAAAAGTTAAACTCTTCTTACTTATAATAAGTTGATACGTGCTTTTATAAAAAAAATATAAGTTGTTTCAAATAAGTAATCCCAAACACCACCTAATTTTAAAGAAATTAATAAAACTAGTTATTTTCAGACTTTGAATTCATTTCTTTCTCAAATTTCAAAAATGTCTTTAGGTCCATAAGTGGCACCTACGTAATTTACAGAGGGGTCAAAGTGTAAAAAAATTGTTTCTGAGTCGGAGTCGCAAATGCAGGAATCAAATTTGTAAAATGCATATAGGCCTACAAGTGGCACTTCTACGGCGTAACTGCAAGGACTGATTCATAGATTTGGTCCTTACACTTGTGAAACTGGTTTAGAATTTTATTTTATTTTTACACTTTGATCCGTCTGTAAATTTTACCACTGATGAAGGTAGTAACATTTTGATAATATTAAAAGAGAAATGACCAAAAGATAAAAAACAATTATCTGAAAATGGCTATTTTAGTTAATTTTCCTTAGTTTTAACAATTTCTACATTAATTATATTAATAAAATAATTTACAAATTAAAATTAACTAACCAAATTAAAAGAATCTTAGATTGATTAAATAATTTAACAGTAACAAGAAATGGTAACCAGAAACCCATTATTTAGAGATGTTTTATTAAAATTTCAGTCCAGTCCCTTCAGTTTCAATATATTTCAGAATACTCTTCTTGCTACATGTGATGCTCGAACCAAGACCCCATGGAGGCAACACTTTTACCTGATTTATAGCAACCATCTCGCAAACCTCAAAACTGTTTGACATTAATTTGGTTTCCAAATATTTAAGGGCACACTCATAATTAAGCGAGTCAACTCCTTTAACATCTCGTTTTTTCTTCTTGCGATGATCAAGTGAGCGGGGTACACAGGACCACGCTCAACCCTTAATAGGTCCGCCCCTACCATGACCTAAACGCATTGACCAGGTCGTCCACATCCTCTTGAACATGTATCAGATGTGATCCGATCCTTATCCCAAATTAACCAACTTCCAACATAACCCTCCACACACACACACCCACACACATATATGAAAAACTGAGGAACATCGTAGTAATAGTTCATCTAGACAATATACATATGTGCATACAAGTAATTATTTACAAGCAATTTGTCTGGTATGCACACGTGGATAAAAACCAAAAAACAACTTCAATTGCTTATATGCACATGTGCATACTGTCCAGATGAATGGTTATTAGGATGTTCCTCAGTTTTTCATTTTTTTTTGGTTTTTCCCTAAACCTCCCTCCCTTCTCTCTACATATATGTGTGTGTGTGTGTGTGTATATATATATATATATATATATGCTAAAATCAAATAACAAGAGGGGATACAGAAGAAACAAATGGCTCATTGATGAATAAAAGAATAGGATTAAGAGTAAATAAAGAATTATACAATTAGATTGGAAAAACAAAAACTGAAAAATCCAAGAAAAAATTTACCTGGAAGTTTTTATCTCAAAAATTACACTTCTTCATTTCACTCAAAAAAGATAACCCAATAATAGACGAAAAAGACCACATCACCTTTCGGATACGAAGATATGCAACATATACAGCGAGATACAAAGAGCAGTACAAACGCTTGCTGTAATCACCGTCTCTGTGAAGAAATCTGCGTTACGCTTTGCTCAACAAAATACGGCAACGTGTGTATTTGTATCTTTGTTGAGAAAAAAAGAGTTGTTCTTTCAAGAATCATTGCAGGATTAAAAAAGCTCCTCTGAATTGAACTTGTTCCAAGCTTCCTAATATCAGATTAATCAAAGTTAAATATCATGACAAGTTGGAAGTTGAAAAGTTAGTCGAACAGATTTTCTAAAATGGAAATTTTAGGCTTCTTTTTGCTCCAACAAATTCTCGAGGAGGGGGGGGGGGGTTGATTTGATGGAATGGTTTTGAGAGATTTTGATTTTCTAGAAGAATTTGAAGTTGGAGGGAATTGAAGTTGAAAGGATTGAAATCCATGAAAATCTTTCAAACCAAACATAATCCAATTGAATCCTACAAACCAAGCGGGACCTAAAACTTCCTCTTAAAACGGAAAGTAGGATAGAGGATAAAAATCTCGGAGAAATCCCTAAATTTATATGTTTAAGATAAAGAATTGTTTCTTTTTTTTTTATTGTTTCCACCAATGAGGTTGGGTGTATTATTATTTTATATAAAAATTAAAAGTTCATTGAGATGATAATTGTAGAGAATATTTTAATAATATAATTGAAGCTGAAATCTCCACAATAGACAAACGGTTGGAGTTGAGTGTAATTTTTTAAGAGATTTTAACTTTTGCTTCTCTACTTCAAAGAAATTATAGAGGACATGTTGGAGATGCTTTGATACTAGTCATGTTTGGTAAAAACTAACTGATAAGCTATATGACAATGTAAAATGACCTAAAAGGACATGTTGAAAAATTAACTGGAAAGTTATAAGAAGCATGATTGGGAAAAGCTGAAAAAAAGCCCTTGGGGCACATGACTAACCAAACAAAGCTTGTTGAATAAGCTCAAAGAATAATGGCGTGTTTGTTAGAAGCTTAATGGGATTCACAGCTTATTCGCTCAACTATACATGACTGTTCGATAGTGACTTAATGATATAGAAAGTGACTTATTCGATAAGCTTCTAGGGGGAACTTTATGCAGGAAGCCAAGTTGTTTCCAAACATGCCCATCCATATTAGAAAAACACAACGCGCTCCTATCTATGAGAAAAACCCCATACAAAAACATTCCCAACCTATACAGACAAATTATCCACTCAGACATCTTTATGCATACAGGACTTAATAGAAACCAACCAAACAACCCCTAAGCCAGCTTATGGTTGGCAAACATGGCTGAATGCCTTTATGTATACGACATCCTAATACAGACAGATTATCCACTCAGACAGCTTTATCCATACAGGACTTAATGGAAAACCAACCAAACAGCCCCTAACCCAGCTTATGGTTCGCAAACATGGCTGAACGGGTTTATGTATATGACATGATACGATCATTCATTGGATACTTCATGAGTTTAGAATGCATAACAAGTAGTCATTTTGAATGGTCAATATTGGATTAACCATCTTGAAATACCATAAGACGTGAGTGAGTGAGTACCTTAAGAAGGTCAAAAACCTTCTCGGCGACGTATTTCTGTTGAAGATTAGCTCCTTTCTGTTGCACTTTATCTGGATGGATACACAGAGTAGCCTTTCTGTATGCTTTTTTCACGCTAGCACCAGTGATTAAATCCGTCAATGAAACAGGCTGCCAACCGCATTCAGGCCAAAGAACCTGAAATTCCATTGATGAGAAAAGATCTCAAAAGATGTCTTAAATGAAAACAGTTGCTAATTGCTCCAGTTTCGAGCATCAGATGTTACTCAAAGTGCAATAAGGCATTAAGTTGTTGATTGGTCCGTTTGGTTTGGTTTGGTTGTTGAAAAAATCACATTGACGTAATCAACTCCATATAACTTATACTACATTGACATAATAAACTCCAGATAACTTTACTATATCCAATATTCTCAAGTATGCCCCCAGACCAATCTGGTGTCACTTTGCCAATAAAGCAGTTTAAATCTTTGAATCATACAGAAAACATGGACAAAGAGATAAGGAGACATACATATTGTAACGTTGATAGCATCGCTCGCAAATTTCCTTCTTTCCCTGCAGCCCAACGCTTGATTTCGATATCTAAAGTTGCAGAAATCCTCTGAGATGAACACATAAAGGTCAGATAAAGAAAAAGACATGGAACACTATGCAAGATAGAATATCAACGATAAATAGGGAACAGCCCACAGAAAACGAGAGATGTCAATTGCTCCTAGGCAGAAGATGACCTAAAACAATGTATGGCAGCTTTTATTTCTTCAGCACCAAAATAAATCGTGATAAGCTCACATGCACAAATAGAAGTCCAGCATGCCAAAGACCACAGTGAATCAAAAGAAAGATGTAGACGGACATAATGCCATCATTGCCATGCAGTCTTCTTGACTCTACATGACAAAAACTATTCTACATGCCCCGCCCTCTAATGGTACAAATAGATGAGATGTTACTCTGGGAAAATGTTAACATCTAGAACATGCTTCCTATCATTACACAAAATATGACATGGAAAGATAAGGGAACCAGTCTAAGAACAAAACACTATTTAATGATGTGAGACAGAACTTGTCGAACATCAGGTACTGTTTTATTATCCAATGACAACAGTTTCACAAATACAAAATGATTATCAGAAAAAGTAATGTCATCCATCTTGAATGCAAGCGGTTGAAATTCATATTTACATTTACCGAAGTGAAGTCATCTGGATCTTAAAACAAAGATGCAACAAAACATGGAGATGACCAAGCAACACTTACTTGTCTTTCTTCCTGTTCCCTCTGAGATTGCATATCCCGCTGATTCTTTTCAGCCAGCGCTTTAGCCTATAAATGAAAACCTCCACAGTCAGACTTAGAAATCATGTACGGGAGATCATACCACTTCAGAGTATGCCATCCCCATTGCAACATTAGAAAAGATCTTGTTAAAAATCACATACTGCGCGCTCCTGAGTGCGTTGTTGTCTTTCCAGCCTAGCTCTTCGCCTTTCCTCTGTTTCCCCCTCAACATCCTGGAATTCTCCAGCTGGCGTAGCAGCTTTTGGAATAATAAGCCGTTAGCTAGTCCTAAGTGTGAGAGAAGAAGTCGTAGAATTATCTCAAAAAAATTGATAAAAATATACCTCCAAAAATTGAGCTTAGATCGTCAACGAAATTGGTAGGGGGAGATGCTTTCCTCACATTGGAAGATGTTCCAGTATCGGGTCCTCGTCTGTTCTGGGATAGTGGATCAGTTGCAGAGTCCTACATTGGAGATCAGACCGAGAAGATAACCAATAGAAATTTCCAAGATATTATTGAAATACAGAATGCTTATTGTATAGATGCACCATTTGCTACTCACAGAAGAAGCTGCCCTTGATTGTGGCACACTGGTTGGTCGAGAACCCATGCTAAAGAAGGAATCGAGGTCATTATCATTCTTTTGTCGGTTCATCTTGGTGGCAGCAGCAGCAGCAGCTCTCTCTCGAGCTTCTGCAGCGGCTCTCTCTCTGGCCTCAGCAGTGACCCTTTCTACAGCAGCACGCTCTGCTCTACGTCTTGCTTCTGCTTCAGCCCTCGCTACAGCAGCTTTCTCCCGTGCTTCTTTCTCCCTGGACTCTGTAGCAGCCTTTTCAGCTGAAGCCCTTTCCTTGGCTTCTGCGGCAGCCCTTTCCTTGGCTTCTGCGGCACCCCTTTCTGCTCTTTCCCTAGCCTCAATAGCTGCTCTTTCACGAGCCTCAGCTTGTGCTCTCTGAACAGCAGCCCTCTCAGCCTTTAAGCGAGCTTCAGAAGCTGCTCTTTCGCGAGCTTCCCTGGTAGCCCTTTCTACAGCTTGTCTGGCTTTCTCCCTTTCAATTTCCCTAATCCTCTCTTTCTCACGTCTCCTTTGCTCTCTCTCTTCCTCTTCCCTCTCTCTCTCTTGCCGCTCACGATCTAGCCTCCCCCGTGTTATCTCTTCATCCATAGTCTGTTCATCCGTCTCTACCTGCACATATTCTCTATTTCTAGAAGCATTTCCATGTTTTCTTTCTCTTACTTCCTTAGCATGCTTAAATTTAGCCTCAGCTCTGTCCATAGCCTCCTTCATTGCAGCAGAAGCTGAATCTGAGTCCATCTCTTCACCTGATTGGGCATCAGAAATGCCATCACTGTTATTCGGCATCCTACCCATGGCAAAATTCTCAAGATCATCTAATTGTGAAGATACATGACTCTTGGTCGAAGACCGGAAGGGCCTAACATTTTGGGAGTATTTAGCGGAATTTGATGAAGAAGATAAATCATTACCAAATATTCTGGTACGTGAAGCAAATGAACCTCTATCAGACTTTGAAGCATGCCTTGGTATTGGAGGAGGGGGTCTTGAAGGTGGTGGGGCTCTAGTAACTGGTGTGAACAGAGGGACCTCTGACACAGTGAGCCATATGTCATCGGCATGCTGCACATGCTCTTCTGAATTGGGAGATGTGCCCACCTGTGAACTTGTCTCACTATAGGAAGCTGGAGAAGTAGTCTGATCAAAAGATCTATGAGACTTTCTAGAAACAGTTGGCATGTCAAAGACTGTTTGATGAGATTCTTGAAGATCATCAAAAGGCATCTTCTGTGGTTGATTCTCAGAATATCCAAAGGAAGATTCCTCTATTGGCTCTCTACTAACAGAACTTCGTGCACTGCCCATACTGGATCCTTCATCCGAAGGGATGTGACCCTTTCCCCTGTTATTTATCCCCTTCGCAAATGCAGGTGCAGGTTTTTTGAAACCATTAAGGGAGTCCATGTCACCAAACACATTCCCACTCACTGATTCTCCAGCCTTTGTGCTCCTGGATTTACCAATTTTTGTGTCTTCCAATGGATCAGTATAATGGCCCTGGGATGAAGTAACAGGGCTTGTCATAGACTCTAGAACCACAAATGGGTCATCTATTGCATTAGATTTTTCCTTTGTTTTGCCAGTTGATTTGGGGGATGGTTTTGAACTCGATCTGTTAGAAAAGCATAATAAATGTTATGGACCAGCACAGCTTATTCAATTGTCACCAATATGTTTGGCTACTCATGTAATTAAAAAAAGTAGGCAAAAACAGATAAAATATCAACATACTTTTTTCAACAAAAATGTTCATCAATTACATACATATACTCTCGTAAATCGATTATATCAATCTCGACTATTTTCAATCAAATTACCCAGAATAAATATTTGACAGATGATTAACATCTCCCGTCAAATTGAACCCCCTCTCCACTTCTTCATTTATGTTAGTTAATTCGGTTAAGATTAGTAAAAGATAATGTAATTGATATAATTGTGAGAGCAAAGTATGCAATTGATAAAAAAATGTTCAAAATTGTAATTGAAAAACTGTAGAAATACGGTGATATGTTTGTCTTTTTTGCCTATAGTATTATAAAGTATACACAGACAAAAATAAACAGAAAGAAAAATCCTATCCCAAAAGTTAATTCTAGCAAAACAAAGAATATAACAGATGGTTATATCTGAAAACAATATTCACGGAAGTTAAATTCTATTACTCAACGAAAGCAGCCTACTTAGGTTTCACTAAACATAATAGAGATATATAACAACTGAAATTAGTGGCGAATTCCTGTTCCTGATAATCTCCGACACTTCTCAAGTTGGAACATATGCATCCAAAATACCCAACTTGTCACATATAAGATTTATCTGAATCTCAGTCGTTTTGTTAATGCATATGCTTAGGGCTGTAAACGAACCGAACGTTCAGCGAACCGTTCGTGAACCGTTCGGCGGGAAGTTCGTTTATGTTCGTTTATTTAATAAATGAACGAACATGAACAAATTTTTTCGTTCGTTTAGTTAAACGAACGAACATGAACAAGAGTCTCGTTCGTTCATTTACGTTCGTGAACGTGCGTTCATTTATGTTCGTTAACGTTCGTTCGTTTACGTTCGTTTATGTTCGTTTATGTTCGTTTATTTATTAATTTTAATATATAATTTTTATTTATTTAGTTTGAATTTAAATTTTAAAACATTTTTATTTATTGGGCTTTTAAAAGAGTTTAGGCTTTTTAATATTTGGGCTTTTAAAAGGGTTTTGTTGGTCACTTGGTGTGGACTGTGGTCACTGGTCGATTAGGGCAGAAGCGAAGGGGAGAAGCGAGAAGCGAGAAGCGAAGCGAAGGGGTGTGGTCCGTGTGGAGTGTGGTCGTCGATTAGGGCAGAAGCAAAGGACACCGTGCTGTAGCCTGTAGATCAATCGCCAATCGTGAAGCAGTATCTAGGTATGTAACCGTATGTAGCCATCTCTTCTTCGCCTCTTCGGTAATGGTATGTAACCGTATGTAGACTCTGTTGTTCCTGATACTGCTGTTGTTCCTGATTTTGC